TGCTATAATTAACAAATTTAATAATAATTGCAAATTTATAGCAACATTTTTATATTAAATAGATAAAACGACGTTATAAAGAAAAATCTAATATAAAAAAAAAAACATTAATAAAGTCATTTTCAACCAAGTAATTGTCTACTCATAAAATCCTCCATCCTATTAATTTAAAATGTTATCAACTAATTTTTTTACAAAATATGAATGCTTCAATGTCATTACTACCAGCCTCAATTTAAATAGGTATTTAATAAGCTATCGATGTTCGTTGTTGCTATTGCCATCTTCGATAGTTGACATTTGTGACTCCACCATTCTTAATCTCTTCTTCTTACTTTATTTTTTTTTACAATAGTCTTGTACCATTGTATGAAAATTTTTATGAAAGCATTAAACCAAACACATAAACAATGAAAAAGTTTTTAAGAAGGTAATTTTGCAGTATTTTATATGATTTAATTTGTATCATATCTTCTATAATTTTAACCGTATTTTATATGATTTAATTTGTTTTTTCTATTTTCTTGAATTTTCTATGTATAATTAACAATAAACAAATTATGTCATACTCAAATATTAATAATATTATTAACGTTATCATCATCATCATCTAAAACATACATACAAGTCCATATATACAAATATTTAACATTACCAATTCTTATAATATCTCATATTTCATACCTAAAATCATCTATATTTCATAAAGTATTAGTTTTAAATCACTATAGAAAAGACAAAAACCTTAGAGATCCTCTAAAATTTTATTTTATTTTACAAAAGCTCATACTTTTAGCTTGTTGAAGAGTTCTTTTAAGTTAGCTATTGGTTGAAGGTTCCAATTTACTATTGACCTTAGCAGCGTGATTAACACTATGTTTGACTTTAAGTATTTAATTCATAAGTAATAGAAATATAATTACTTATAAGATAAAAATATAATTAATTCATAGTATCTATAGCTGCATACTCTAATGATTGTAGCAAATTAATTTTCACATTCTTTATTTGCTATAATCCTTATAATTTATAGCTAATACACACATACTAGCTATATATTTAAACTGGTAGCTAATAATGATACTAAAATATTGTTACTACCATGAAAATAAAATCTGTATAGCTAGATACCTTAATTAGATACAGATTTCAATAATTTATAGTTAATGCATAAATAATAGTTATATAGTTAAACTCGTAATTAATAATGATACTATATGTCATGTAAATAAAATGTTTATAGTTAAATACATTAATTAGCTATAATGTTTTACCATAGCTAATACATTGTAGCTAAATGACTAGTTATTGCCACGATTTTAATAAGTTAAAGTAAGAATTGAATATTAGCTTTAAGGAGGAAATCTTATCACTAAAATTATTTCAATTAGCTATAAATATTGACTTTTGTAGTTGTAAATATGTATTTGTTACAGTTTTTCCTTTGTGTAGCTAATTTTCGTGTGTATATATATATATATATATATATATATATAATATATGAAAGAAATAATACCAAACACTGATGGAGTTAGAATGCCATCACCAATAACCATGCTGGTTCCAAGAAGCACGACCAGTAGCAATCGAAGTTACTCACTCCTCAATTGATCATACATTTCATCTAATTTTTTAGTACAACTCTTGTGTTATACAAAGGGCTGCAATCTCACAATACAAACATAATAAGCTTATGCCTTAATTTAACATATCATAAGAAAATAATGAGAAGGAAACAGAAAAGAAACAAAACCTGTTAGAATCATTCACAATGGCTTCAAAAACAACCTCATCAGCCTACAAGAAATCAACTCCACCACCATTAAAAATCAATTAAAGAAAGAAGGAAAATATTGAAAAAAAAAAAAAAAAAAAAAAACCCCAAAATCTATCATATCTACCCGATTAGGTGAGCTCCTTAGCTGTGTGCTATGGTGGCTATGATGGGTCCGAATCTGTAGGGCGTGGAGCGTGGCCGCAACAGGGAGCTGATCATTAGAAAGCAACGAAAACAATGCACACTCTTCTGGTTCCTTAATTTCCCCAAAATAAGATAATCAAATCATCAAAAGTTACCAAATTTATGAAACAAACAAAAAAATAAATTCATTTATCATTATACTTGATGAATAAAGCATAAACCTCAAGGAATGAAGCAATCTTGAGGGCAATATCGTGAGGGAGTCAACTTTGAATAACACACTGCGATTGCTTCATGGTTGCCTAAGATTTTTTTGTTGAAGTGAATGTTTCTGAGCTAGTCTTCTCTTCTTCTTCAGTTTGGGATGAAAATGAAACGTAATGAAATGATTCCATATATGCATTTTATAGATGAAGATGAAACTTTAAGAAGCTAAAAGCTTTTTATGAAGTGTTTGGATTTTAGGAGCTGAATGTGAAGGGATTAAACCGTTGGGATACCCAAAAAATATAACCATTAATTTATTATCAAACCATTCATATTCACGAACCTTTTAAATTCACATCATATTCTCATAAATATCTCTAACCATTTATATTAAACAGCAATATATAACAAATACAATATAAAAAAATAAAAACACATCATATTCTGTTAAATATCTCTAACCATATATATTAAACAGCAACATATAACAAATACAATATAACAAAATAAAAACTTATCAAACCATTCATATTCACAAACCCCTTAAATTCAAATAAATGTATTGTGAATGACATACAATGTATTTCACATAAATTTATTTGTTTGTAAATGACAATATTTACTGTCAATGTGAAACATATAACAATCAATAAAATTATTAATATCTGTCATTAATAACAAACAATATCAAACACCAATTATATTAAGCCACATATACCATCAAATCCAACTCATCAATTTATTCCAAATCATCATCAATAATATCTATCCAAATGTAAACAATGCACATAATCACCAATCAAACACATCCATGTGTCGGGCAATTTGCAGACGTGTCAAAATAAAAGAATTTTGCCTTTTCAAAATAGTCATCATATAGCCTATATATATCCAAGCTTTTTATTATAAAGAGTTTATCCATAAAAAGCAAGAGTCCAACTGATTCTTTATTCTTTAAATATAAATTAAAGAGTGAATTTGACTCTCCACAATTAAAGAGTCAAATTTCAGTCTCTTCCTAATTTTAAATAAATAAATTATAAATTTCTATGCATTTTATTTATTATTTATCTCTCTTATTAAGTTTTTTTTCTTGAAAAAACATATTTTCTCTCCTAAAATTTAAAGAGTCTATTGGATTTGAATAAAAATTTATTCTTTATATTTAAAAATCAATGAAGAAACTCTTTATTTATATGAAAGATACTCTTTAAAATAAAGAGCACCATTGGAGATGCTCTAAGACTTTTAAAATATCACTTTAATACTTAGAGCACAATTTTGTTTGTAAAGTTCATTCTGAAGAAGGACAAGATGATCAAAAGTCTATTTTAAATAAGGGCAAGATGGTCATAGGAGTGATTTTAGTCATCGGAATTGGCCAGAATATGGCTTGAACATAGAGAGGTACATGTTAGCAAGGGGCGGTGCACGTTAGCAATGTCGCAATCGACTGTTTTTGCCTCTTTTTGACTAATTCCGACATCCAAAATCACTTCCAAAACCACCTATAATTCCTCACAATCTCCTCTACAAAACCCTCCATCTCCTTTTCCCTCCACATCTCCCTTTTTTCATCGGTTTTTGCACCTTTTTTCTTCCCTTAATCGCCACTTCCAAACCAATTCCAACCAACTCTGACCATCAAAATCCAATCTACCGCCTTTAAAAGGCTCAACAATCTCTCTACTACAAAAGCCCTAATAAGTTGGACTATGCTTACTCACCAATTGCCACGGGCCAACCCTAGGGTTTCTTGTAGTTTGTTTTATGTTTGGGTTGCAATTGGAGTTTTTTTGGAGTAGTTTTGGTGAAATTGGAGATCTTTTTGGAGTGTTAGAGGTGTTTGGTGTTTTGTTGAGAGTTTTCCCAAACGTTTTCACCTTTTCTCGAGGTTATTCCAACTTTTTTAGCTTGGTGCGTGCCAAGTGTTTGAGAAATTGCCCCAACCATCCCAATACACGCCCTAGGCCAGAGCACAGGCCGCTAGAAAGAGAAACGAAGGAAGAGTAAAGCGTTTTTTCATCTTTACAATAAATATCACTGTTTTTAACAGAAACTATTAACGGAATGTGATGTTTGGGTGTTAAAGTGGTATTTTAAAAGTATGAAGGTAAGAAAGTGTTATTATGCCATTTTTCGGGTGGGAAAAAGTCGTTTACTCAAGTACAGGGGATAAATTTGTTTTTTGCCCTTTAATATAAGTACTGTAAATTGCAGCAGAGGGAGAATAGGATAGATTTGTAGCAAATAGCAATTAGGGGGTGTTTAGTTGGGGGTTATGTGGGATTACTAAGGTAATGTCATCTTATATTACTTAATTACCATGTTTGGTTGTCAAAGTAAAATAAGATTTTGGTAATCCTCAAATACCAATAGTAGTTACTATTGGTAATATATGAGGTAATCTGATTACCTCCATTTTCTTAGGTTTTCTAAGATTACCAAGGTAATCTTTTTTTGTTACAATTTTATCCCTTATTAATAAAATTATAGGACAATAATGCCCTTGTTATTTAAACAATTTACAAAAAAGTTATAGACATTTTTAACCTTACACACAAAAATTTAAACCCGTTTATACCCTCCAACTTCAACAAAATTAAAAATTCCCAATTTATTACTGGATGAAATCCCCTAAACCTAACTCCTTTACTCATCATCTACTGAATTAAATCTTCATCTATCAAATTAATTACCCACTTTTTTCATTAAAAATTATCAATTCATTACTGTGTGAAATGCCCAAAACCTAACTCCTTTACTCATCATCTACCGAATTAAATCTTCATCTACCAAATTAATTACCCACTTTTTCCACAGTTGAACACAAACGATTTGCATTTAACTTTGAGCTTCCTTTCATGTTCAGATCAAGTGGAGTGCGTTTGCTGCAAATTTCTCGTCTTCACTTCCAGCAAGTCGTCAAGNTGTAACTCGTGCTCTATTTGTTTGTGTTACTAATTGTTGCCACTTGCTACTTGTAGGTTGGACAATTAAGAGAGGTGTCAAATAAAACACACAATGCAGAATTGAAGTTGTTCTTGGAAATAGAGTTTGGGCTGGTAATGTGGTCCTAACAGTACCTTAATGCATTAATAGTTGTTCTTGCAATAATGTTCAAGCAAAAAAATTCAATTTTTAATATAAGCCTTTACTGTTCATGTTTAAGGATTTACGACCTATTCCTCCACCTGACAAATCTAAAGAAGACATTCTGCTTTTCTTCAAGCTTTATGATCCTGAGAAAGGGGAACTCCGGTATGTAGTCGTTTTGGTTATTTTATTCTCATCCTATGGTCTTGTTTCGTGGTTTCTAATTTTTTAATTTCTTCCATATATCTAGATATGTTGGTAGGCTCTTCGTCAAGAGTTCCACTAAGCCAATGGAAATTTTAGGGAAGCTGAATAAAATGGCTGGTTTTAATCCAGATGAAGAAATAGAACTGTATGAGGTTTGTATTCAATTAACCTGTTTTCTTTTCTTTTTTATTTATTATTATTGTTATTATTATTATTATTATTATTATTATTATTATTTTTTTTTTTTTTTTTTGAGTATACTATTGTACTCAATGCAATAGTGTTAATCATATATACTCTGTTATGCACTATTCAGGAAATTAAATTTGATCCTTGTGTTATGTGTGAACACCTTGATAAGAGGACATCTTTCCGGTTAAGTCAGGTATGTACTGTTTTATTCTGTGCTAGATTTTCTGTCGGATGGAATTTGATACAGGAATACTATTGTTGATTTGTTGCAGATTGAAGATGGGGATATCATTTGCTTCCAAAAATCTCCTCCCCTTGAAAGTGAAGGAGAATGTCGATATCCAGATGTGCCTTCATTTTTGGAATATGTGCATAATCGGCAGGTGGTAAATATGTTGAAACTTGTGATTCATTATAACTATTAATATTTGCAATTTTTATTGTTTGTTTGTTTGTTTGTTGTAGTCTATATAATAAATGATACAAGAGATTTATGGCAAAGTTGGCATTTATTCTGTCATCATTCTACAGTGTCCAGATTTTTTGTGCGTTATTTATGATGTAAATGGTGTGATGGAGAGGGAGAAGAATAAACAGATAGATAATCAAGAATCAAATAGATAGAGAAAAAGAAATAGATAGATAGAGAAGAAATTAGATAGAAAATAGAGAGTTATAGATAGACAGAGAAGAAATAAGATAGAAAATAGAGAGTTTAGATAGAAAGTCAAAGAAATAGGTCAAGATAGACCAGAATTAAGATAGAAATAGGGAGGAGGAGAAAATAGATAGGGATAGATGGGGAAGACAGCAAGAAAGGGGATGAAACCATAAGAATATAGGGTAGAAAGAAGCAACCAGTTGGGGAGAATCAAATCTTATTCCATAATCATTTAATCAAGTGTTAAAAAATATCCTAAACAACTTAAAAATTCTAAAAGTTCTAATCCTAAACATAATGACAAATGAAATTCTAATCCTAATTAAATAATGACACAATGAAATAAGAGAGAAATAAATTAATTAGAACTCTAAAAATAATTATCCTAAAAACTTATCTTAGTTCTCCTACATCAGGGTGTTTAGGTAATTACTAATTTAGTATTTGTGATGACATAAAACTGCTTCATTTGTATTTAAATCGTGCACATGAGTTTCAGGGCTTTTAGTGCATTCTTTCACTTTGTATGTTAAGATCTAATTGTAATTTTCTTTGCTTCAGTAAATCTGTTTTGACTTTTGATAAAACTATGGTAAGGTGGACTCCTTTCATCTTAACCAAGAGTAACGATAATCGTCTCATTTCCAAAAATTTCCTAGCATCTCATATAGGCAGACATATAAGAAATTCTAGTAAGAGTAGTTTTCTGTGTATCTATATGCTTTTTCAACTTCAAACCCTTCTATGTCATGTGGTAATCTGATATAATTAATATCTTAATAGTGGAAAACATTTAAGAGTGATATCTTAATAGAACAACATTGCCAATTTTTCTTAGATATTAGTTGTGTAATGTTTTATTTGACTTGTTAAATTCAAACTTAATTCCTTGTGATTTGATGCTTTATAGATTGTTCGTTTTCGATCGCTGGATAGGCCCAAAGAGGATGATTTTTGTCTAGAGTNAAGGCTGTGTAAATAGAATATGATTGCTCGTTTTAGTTTTTTGAGTTAAGATTTTAGAATCAAATCACTTCGTATTATTATTATTATGAAATTTTAATCCGTTGGGGATTGTCAATGTCAAGTCCATGTCCAAGGAGATTGTCCTTTCAGGCTTTCACCACTAAAGTGAGAAATGTGAAAGTAAATAAGAATATCATTGAAGAAACTTTCCTCGTACTCTTTTCAAAATTTGGAATTTTCGTGCAAACGGGTGTACGCTTTAACTACTTTTCAAGGATTGGCCCGCTAGTAGTTGAAAATTGAAAATACTGGGTTTCTCATTATCAACAGCAACAGAAAATGAAAAGAAAAATTTTCCAGATCCAGTTGTCAGTAAATCATGAATATATAAAGGGTAAGTTGCATATTCAGAGATGCCCACAATTGATCCGATATTAAACAACATAAAACTTATGAAACTTTAACATATATATCACTTCACTTATTGTTAGTGTAGACACCCCACACCAACAAACCAACCCACCCCCACCAAAAAAAAAAAAAAAAAAAAAAAAATTAAAGTAAAAGGTATCCTTATCCTTAATGTGATTTGGCTGTGCTGTTGCGCTCCTCGATATGTTGGTTAACATCGGAATGCCAATTGTTGCCAGATTGGCGTGCATATCTGATCTCACAGGCTTGCGAGGTTTGAGCTTGTCTTTAACATGGGTTAAAACCGGTATGTTGGCGTTGGGCATTTCATCGATTAGGAGGACCATCCCTTTTGTGATTATTGTCTTCATTTTCTCTCATGAGTTGCTTGCCCAGTCGCCTCTTGGGGTTAACTTGCCCTCAGGATTCACACTCGTGAGCGGAAGATGCCTTGCGATGTCGGGGGTGACAGTCGCTCTTGGGTGTCGACGAACCAGATTGGTCGCTAGCAGAGCTATTTCGCCCGGTTGGTGTAACCTCTGTGAAGCGTGGTTGATCGAGGTTCTGGTTGGCATGCTGCTCGTTTCTTAACTCAGCCATGTTTTGTTGTACCACCTATACAACCATCGTCCTTATCATATTTATCAATTGGCCATTCTCAGGATTAGAAGTCTTACCCTTGCTAATTTGCGACCTGTTGTGCTAGTGGTACTAGCGGTCAACCTGGAGCAGCAATTTGATGCACCTCCTAGTGGATGGCTTCCAATTGTCATGGTTTTTGGTGGTTGTTTTGGATCTTGTATGAACCATTAGAAATTTCAGGTGATCGGTTGTTCACTGAAATTGCTTGTTTCTTGCTGAAAATAGAGAAAATAGGTAGAGGAACTCCTTCAGAGCCAAATGTTGATACGAAAATTTGCACCAACCAGAGTGATCTGATTTACCCTGACAGAACCAAAACAGATGTGTGTGTGATTTAATAAAAAGCAGCAATGATAGTAAGAAAATGCATTATAATGTAAAAGACACAAAGGAATTTTTAAAGTGATTCGGCAAGTTAGAACTTGAGCTTACGTCCACTGTTGTTTTATTGTTGTGAGAGCTTACAATGTATATCAATTGTTAAGCAAAAATTACTAACCCCTTTGGGGATATTTATACTAGTTTGAGATAAAGGAAAGAGAGAAATTATCAGGATTGCAATCAAATTCAAATTACAACTCCAATATTCTCGTGATTGAACGATAATATTATGCTGTTATTGCTGATAATCTTATCTCTTCCGAAATATTTGGTATTTAAGCTTATCCCTAGTTTGTCGAATAATTGCCAGAGTTGGTCACGACTGGGTCTAGCTATCTCTCAACGAGCTTATGTTGGGTCGGACTAATGCTGAGTCAAATTTATTATGGGTCGAACTATATCCTCGCAGGTTTTTGATTTCTTTGAGCTGAATGGAAAAATCACACACAACACTCATAATTCATGAATTTATTTTTTTCCCTGGTTTGTCGAACAATTGCCAGAGCTGGTCATGACTAGCTTGTGTTGGGTCGAGTTATCTCTTGACGAGCTTATGCTGGGTCGGACTAATGCTGAGTCAAATTGATTCTGGGTCAATCTATATCCTCGCGGGCTTCTAATTTCTCCAAGCTAAATGGAAAAATCACACACAACACTCATAATTCACGAATTTATTTTTTTCTTATTCACTTAAGAATGGAACATGATTTCAAACTCATGATACCATTGGATAACTTGTTTGTAATTAAAATCGTAACTGAAATAAGTAATTTGTTTATAATTAAGCTCGGATACCTCTGGATATAGCAGAAATGAAGTTAAGTTTTTTGTTCATGACTTTGTAATTGAGGATTTAGCTAAGCTATACCCTTCAGTTAAAGTTGCAAAGATTGATGAAATTAATTCAGATATGGAAAAATGATGTTGAATTCATTTTGAATTAAAAAACAGAGTTACAGTAGTGTATGCTTTATATAGAGCAATCCTACAACAAACCTAACAAACATTAACTAACTCAACTAATTAACTAACTTTATAACAAACTAATAACTACTTGAAACTAACTTCTTAACAGCTAACTAACTCAGCTTAACAGCTAACTAACTTCTTCTTTATTCCTCAATATCACCCCGCAAGCTGGAGAATGGGTGCTAAGCATTCCCATCTTGGATAAATTGGTATGGAATTGAGCAGGTGGCAGAGCTTTCATGAACAAGTCAGCTAACTAATATGAAGAAGAGCATCGCATGAGATGAATCAAACCGTCTTGAACTTTCTGCTTTACAATATGGTAGTCAATTTCAATGTATTTGGTACGTTCATGGAAGGTGGGATTGGCAGCAATCTAAAGAGCTGATTTGTTGTCACAAAAAAGGAGAGCTGATCCTGAGTGAGTAACGTGAAGATCTTGTAGCAAGTAATGAAGCCATTGAATTTCACATGTTGTGGATGCAACGGCACGATATTCAACCTCAGATGAAGAACAAGAGATAGTGGATTGCTTCTTGGCATGCCAACTGATCAAGGAAGAGCCAAGGAAAACACAGGAACCTGTGATGGATTTCCGTGTATCAGAACATCCAGCCCAGTTGGAATCATTGAAAACTTTGAGGGAAAGAGATGATTCAGCTAGAAAAAATAAACCATAAGCAGGACAACTCTTTATATATCAAAGAACATGATGGCAGCTTTGTTGGTGAACCGATGTAGGCTTATCAAAGAATTGACTAAGTTATTGAACGGCAAAAGACAAATCTGGCCGTGTAGAAGTCAAATATAATAGTCTACCAACCAATCTTCTATAAGAGAAGGGATCAGATAAGGGATCACCAATAGCTTGAGTGAGTTTACAAGTGTAGTCCATTGGAGTTTTGGCAGGCTTACAAGCCAAATATCCAGCATCAGAAAGAATGTCAAGAGCATATTTTCTTTGGCATAATGCAATACCAGACTGGGAATGAGCCACCTCTAAGCCAAGAAAATATTTTAAGTCACCAAGATCCTTATTCCGAAAAGCATCATCTAAATAAGCTTTGACAGCATCAATCTCTGCTAAATTATTACCTGCTAATATAACATCATCTACATATACTAGCAACACTGTTATAGAAGAAGCAGAATATTTAACAAAGAGAGAATAATCTAATGAAGATTGTGTGTAACCCAAAGAAACTAAGGCAGAAGTAAGCTTGGAGAACCATTGTCTGTTGGCCTGTTTAAGTCCATAAAGGGAATTTTGGAGCTTGCAAACTTTGCTAGGATTTGAAGAATTAAAATTAGGAGGTAATACCATATATACTTCTTCAAGTAAATCACCATGGAAAAAAGAGTTATTGACATCAAATTGCTTAAGATGCCAATGAGAAGCAGCAGCCAAAGCAAGAGGCAATCTGACAATTGTAATTTTGGCCACCGGTGAGAATGTATCAAAATAGTCTATACCCTCAGTTTGGGTATAGCCTTTGGCTACTAACCGAGCCTTGTAAAGCTATACTGAACCATCTGCTTTATGCTTAACACGGAACACCCATTTGCAACCAATTGGGGACTTGCCAGGAGGGAGATCTGTGAGTGTCCAAGTGTGATTATGCTCAAGGGCAGTAATTTCTGCTTGCATGGCTTGTCTCCAACAATCATGTTTAATGGCTTGTGCATAAGTCTTAGGTTCAAGTGTAGTTGAAACAGCTAATGTAAAATGAAGCTGATTTGGTGAAAGTTTGGAATAAGAAAGAATAGAAAATAAGGGATAAGTAGTACCTAACTAAGGGAACGAAGGTTCAGGTGCAGTGACCATATTGCAATGATAATCTTTTAAGTATGAAGGAGGCTTTCTCATCTTTTAGAGTTACGGTCAAGTGGTATAACAGGAAAAGGGATAGGAGAATCAGTAGAGAAAAAGTTATCAGGTGGTAATGACGATGATGTAGATAAGGAGGTGTCTTTAGGAGGACAAGGATCTAAGTAAAAAACGGTTGAATTTTGAGGTAAGGGTACTGAATGATTTGCAGGTTTTGAAAAAGGGGAAATGTATTCGTAAAAGAAGACATTTTGAGAGAGAAAAATATCTCTAGAATGCAAGTCTAATACAACAAATCCTTTAGTACCAAATGAGAATCCTAAGAAGAGACACTTCCTAGCTCTAAAATAAAACTTGTTTTTGTGAGCTTGTAAAGTGGAAGCAAAACACAAGCAACCAAATATTTTTAATGAATCATAATGAGGAGATTTTTGATATAGAAGTTCAAATGGTGATCTGTTTTGCAAGATAGGAGAAGGAATTCTGTTGATGAGGTGAATAGCATGAAGTACTGCATAGGTCCAATATTCTTTGGGCAAGATCTAGCAACATTTAGAATGTGCTGGTGTTTACGTTCCACCACACCATTTTGTTGGGGTGTCTCAACACATGTTGTCTGATGATAGGCTCCCTTTGAGGCATAGAAATGAGGCATTATAAATTCAGCACCATTATCAGTGCGAATGGTCTTTATTTTAACTGAAAATTGAGTTTCTATGAGAGCAAAAAATTACTGAACAAGCTGCCTAACTTTTGATTTTTGTTTGATCAGATAAATCCATGTA